GTTTATAAAGGCTCAAAAGGATTGCCGGCAACCTTTTCATCCACCTGGTTCATCGCAGGGGTCAAAGAAAGAGATTGTTCACCATCAAGTTGGCCATTCTCAGGTCCAATCTTCCCCTCCTTTTCCTTTACACTTGGCATGGGGTCTGCTACCACCGGTGTCTATTCTATTTCTTTGCCCACGCAGCTGCCACATTTCTCGCACACCTGGCAGGGGAATCAAAACAAATCATCTATTAATATATACCAATACCTATCCAATGCAATAGGCAAAATTAATATTACCAAATTTGTTCTTTTTCAAGCCCTGCCAAGACAGAGCTGCCACCATACAGCTTGCGAGCAAGGAACGCCCGGACTTCCAGGTTCCCGTCTGGGATGTACAAATTCAATTTGACCGCATTCTCCAACAAGTTGGGCTTTGGAAGGCAAACCAGCTGGCTTAGCGATGGAATTTTCATTGCCACGCCGGAAAGCACAACAAATATTAGACATATATATATATATATTGATTCAATGTCAATTGCCCATTGTCTACTGCTTGAATCCTTATTTATGTCAACGCAATTCTTTGAAATGAGAGTTCCCGTGACATATCATGAGACCGCATGCAGAATCAGGATTGTGAATATTTTCATTCTATCTTGAAGTGGTTCCCCATATATATAATGATATATGCTTGAAATAGAGCTAGATGCGAGAGAAACAATGGCAGAACATGCAAGCTTGGTATGGTAGAATGGTATCACAAGATCCAAGATTGAGATCCCATTTAGTGGAATGAACAAATGTAATTGTGAAACAAGGGATATTGATCAGTATGTTCACCTGTAGGTGTTCCATATCAAAACCTTTTGATTCTTACCCAATATGCAGAATTCGTAGCAGGAAAACATCGATCTACGCGCATCGCTGTAAACCGCGCTATAGTATGCGGAATAATCTGTGGAGGTGGAAGCTAAGAACTAGCGATTTTATAATACAACTTTAATACGCGGAATATCTAGGGAATTAGAAATTCAGAATTGGCGATTTTGTAGTGCAATTTTAATATACGGAGCAATCTATGGAACTAGAAGCTAAGAATAAGCGACATTAATATTTTTCTTTTGTATTAATATTTTTCTTTTTCTAACTTAAGAATTAGCGATTTTGTAAAATAAATTTAATATACGAAAAATTTAAGAAATTAAAAGATTAGAATTAGTAATTTTGTAATTCAATTATAATAAATAAAATAATTAGAGAATTAAAAATAGAATTTAGTAGTTTTATAGTTATATTGTAATATATATAAAATATTTAAAAAACTAAAAAATAAGAATTAATAATTTCATAATATAATTTTTTATATAAAATAACTAACGAACAAAAAAATAAAAATTAATAATTATATTATATATAATTTATAATACATAAAACAAACCAAAAAATTACATAACAATTATAATAATAATAATTATATTACAATTTTTTTAAAATGCGACGACATAAATCATTTCTTTTCTAAATTTTGCAAAATGTATAATTATTTTGTTCCTTTCGTTCCATTAATCGAATTCATTTGTTTTTATCAATAATTATCGCAATTCGACGAATCAATCCTACCATATATCCATTTCCGATAGATTTATTCTTTTAGAAATTTCCGCCGCCGACCGAGAATTTTTTATATAACTATAATCTATTACTATATTTATATTTACATAACTATATTTATACTTAAAATTATATATTATAATAAAATTACGATAAAAAATATGTTAGCCTAAAATACACGATTAAAATCCGGCAAATAAATATAATTAAATTATAATAAAAAATATTAAACACATACAATGGTAATTATAATCCGACGAAAGAAACGAAAAAAAAATAAACAATTAAAAATACATTAAAATAAAATCTAAGAATCCTCACCTAATAAATTAAAAATCACATATTTATATATAATAATATATATAAGCTAAATTTATAAATTCGATCCGATCCTTATCCTATTTAATATGTTAATAATATAAAATATTCTAATATTATGTATATTTAAAATATGTTTATAGATACGAATCATATTTTATATATTTATTATATGTATTAAATTAATATATTTTATTATTCGATTTTTTTCGAGCATTGCATCACAATTGATCTGATTTGATTTCCTAAAAATTGAGACCCTCGATCGATTGATGACAATGTATGATAATGTTATGAACATATTTGGATATAAATTCTCTGTGGCGTCCCCCGGAATGTTGATTGTTGCCCTCAAGAATCACATGTTTTAGGTGTTTTTGCTTGGAGAACCCCCCAAAAACAGCAACTTCTTCGACTCGCAACGCCTCTGTGGAGATCAGATTCATATGCCATCTCGTGACACACTTCGGATCCGATTGCCCAGATTGCATGCGCCAGCTCCTTCGTTGGAGACTCCATGCGCCCACATGGGGGTAGTTTTGTAATGGCCCTATGTCAATCACCTATGCTGCAACATGCTGCAACCATCAACACAAGTTCTCCTCAAATGCAGAGTCCACCCAAAGGTTGTTGCACGTGAAAGCTCAGCCACCTGGTCACAAGCCACCTGAAGCTTCCGACAAAGAACGATTCTCACTGCACCGATTCCAGGTGGCTCAGGGTCGCATTCAAGTGTTCAATTGTACCTTAGGTGACCAAACCAGTGTCTAATCGCTTCCTTGGCATCCCCCATACTATCCAATCCCGGGGAAACCGTGGTCAGTGTTACTCCATGATATCCCCATGTCGTTGCTATGTTAGATGGGTGTCAACATGGTGTCTGCTCGGAGAAGGGCATTGGCTAGCAATCAGGACAGCCAGGATGAAAGCCTGCCATCGGATCCAAATATGTGGAGGAGTTCCACATAGAGCTCACTTTTCACGGAAAGCGCCCTGCAACTGGGACGTGGTCATGGAAGAACTTCTGAACTTCTCCCCGATATTGCAAGAAAGCTCCAGCCACTGTCTTGAATCTGGACCTTGCTTGAATCCTTCGAATTTGCTAGACTAGATTCTGACAGCTATAGCAGCTATGCATCCCTGCTCAAATGCCCGGGCCTAAACCTTTACGCCTTTTTACAGCAAAAGGGCCTTCCGTTGTCCCAAGTGTCGCAGCAGCCTAAAGACCCATACTCAGCCCCGCAGGCACTCATCAAACATGCCGGGGACCACCAGTTGTACGGATGTCCAGGATCTCTCATGAAGGTTTCAAAGACTACCCTGAATTGGTTGTGCAGGATAGTTCCAGGGTAGATTTCAACCAGTCAAAGAATGTCAAAGACTCACAATCTATCGAAACAAGCTGGCACAAAAAAAAACACATCTTCCTTCCTGTTCAATCAAATGGCATCTGCCCTCCCTTGGCTTCCAAGCCTTGACATCCTATTCAACGGCCGTAAACTCCAATGAGTTCACAGGAGATTGGACGAATCTGGGCGTTGCACAGAACGTCGAAGCAAAGACTGAAACGCGCGACGGCCACGAACAGCGCGGGCGCTGCCCGACGAACTGCGTCGCGCTATGTTGGGCTGGTGCCAGTGAACAGCCGGTGTTGGGGCGCCAAACTGATGCCTGAAGATCGTGGACATGTGAAGAGGACACGGTCAAAATCCATGAATGTCCATGTGAAATCCTGTCAACCGAATCAGTCGGCAGAAACACCTCTTTCCGCATGTCCAAAGCTCTTTTTTGGGGGGTCCCAAGATGTTCCAAGATGGGCTGTCTGTGGCTGCAGCTGAGCTGTCGGGACCAGCTGTGTCGCGTCCCAAGGCGGCCACACTTGGCAGGATGCAAATTGCCATGCTACAGCATGAGTATTTGTATCAGACCTGGCACCGTCGCGCACGAAGGAGCAACATGGAGCAACCCGCAAAGGAGGAGCAACCCTGGTCCTCAGCAGGTCACCTCCGAAACAATGGAATTGCAATACCTGTAGAACAGAAAATACAGCTTAGAATCTAGACGATCTTCGGATGATATCTGAGAGGTCTGTGGATTTTGGCTGCCTCATGCTGACGTGTCCAAGTCGAGAATGTCTCTTTTGCAAATGGACGATGTACCAAACACCCCAACTCTCGAAAACGATCCCGCAACGGTCAGTGCGCATCCACAAAACGGCTTGAACAAGCACCTGCTCTCCTGAAACCTTCTGATCTGCTCACCCTGCCCTCCTCCCTGCCCCACCTGGCCAAGCGAGGTCTAGAAAGTCAAAATTGAAAGTCTCAAACGCACGATCCACCACACCACCTGGCCGCGCGACATTTCTTCGGGCCGCCATCAGTGGGTTCGCGCCACGCATGAAATCACATGCAAAAAGAACACATTCCAAAAGGCGGGTGTTTTCGGTGCCGGCCGCATGGTCGGATTCTGACCTCGCAAGACGACTTTGAATTCCTCCATATCTTCAAGTCATCACCTTGTAGATTCGACTCTATGAGGATCTGAAGAGGCTGATGGTTGCCATGTCTTTTCTGCTACCCCTTATAGGTAGGCTGCACTGGTGAACCACAGACCGTTCTCTCATATCCAACAAATCAATTGATATGCACAACAGTTACGACCCTCAGACGGCTCCAACTACCTCCTGAGATGGTATGCCTCAAACACCTTTCTTTCACCGTTAGGACCACTCAAGTACAGCAGCCAACATGTTTTGACAGGGTTCCTCCACCTGTTTTGACATGGTTTCCCCAATACGGTGGATATGGAAAAACCCTGGGTCCAAACGGGGAGACCGACTGAACGGACGACCTGACTGGTCCAGGTCCGAGTTTGGTTCCGCTCCCGGGTCTTGACCCACTCATATATAAGTGTGTCTACTATATGTATAACGGTCCCCATATATAGATAGGGGCACGGTGAACCCAATACATGTTTGAAAGGGGGTTTTATTGTCCTATTTTTTACCGACTGCCCTATCTATTTGTAAGCATCAATCTCAGCCAATTTTGCACGATTTCGCGATCTGTCTCCGGAGCCTCGAACTCATCGATCATACCTGGACGCACAGTGGCGAGAACGCGATGGGGCAACCCTGGTTGATATGTACAAATATGTGCAGAAATGGACGCCCAAATCCAGGCATTTGTCAATGAAATTTCGAGTTTGGTTCTGAAGACACACATATTTCTTTACAAGTTGGCTGGAAAATCAGTTTGGAACAGTTGCCAACCCTCAAACATTGCAGAGTCACAATATGGCTCTCGCTGGTTTATGGAGTTTTATGGGTGATACGTGGTGATGTCATTTAGAAGGTCTAACCTGTTCTGCCAAGATGTTCCCGGATTCCTTTACAAACAATCTGAGTGGATGAGTAGATCCGCAGCCTCTTTATCGTTTCATTCCCTGCTCTCGTTGATCCTTGATCTTTCTGAACATGCAATCTCTGCTTGCCAATCAACAAACCAAAGACCATCTGACCAAACAAACACACAAGAAAACACTTCAAAAACATCAAACCCTCAGGATTCTCTTTGCATTGTCTCTACATTTTCTATGCATTTGCATGCTTTGAAAAAAAGTAGGATATCAACTCTGTGAGGTGAATCTTGGATTCATTGATTTCTTCCTGCTGAATCACACCGTAATACCAGCTGAATAATATATCAAACATACCAAGATAAGCTCCACATATGTATATATTGCTAAGCAAAATTAGCTAAGTATTGTTTCGGTTCAAGCTCCAAATCCGGTACCTTCAAACTGGAGGGCTCGGTTCTCTCCGACAAGCTCTCCCAAGCTACAGCTGGCCCCGGAAGCATCCAGAAACTACCAAGTTCTCCAACCTTCCAACGCCGGCCGGAGCAGGTCTGAGCCTTCACGTGTTCCCCGCGCGAAACAAACATCCTGTGAGAAGAAGCCGGCTTCTTCGCCGAGGGCTAAAGCGATCCCCGCCAGGCGATCGGTCGATCCCACTTCGAGACATGCGACCGATCGCTGGGTTTTGTGAAGGGAAACATGGACTCCCTCCCTGGACACATGGACTCCCTCGCGGAGAATTGAAGGCGCACATGGACTTGTCTTTCTTGGTCTTCTTTTGCTCGGCCCTCTTTTTGGCCTGGCGCGACTTATCGACAGAAAACCAGCTTCCTGATGATCTGGGTGGAAACGGTACAAAGCCATACGGCGTTTTTGTGCCCAACATCCTTCAGTGAGACAGGCAAGCTTGCCCGACTCTGACATACAGATATCTCAAAACACGTCTTGAGATCGAATCAGTTCTTTTGCCACAGAACTCACTTTTTGAAATCTAGCTTTGAGGGGATAGCTTGGATGACAAATTGTTGCCAGACTCATGCAAGCAGGCAAATGAGTGAACTGGCGTAGGCTGTGGACTTGAATTAAACCACAGCTCCACCAAACCACAGCTCCAAACCACCCCCCGTGCCGTGGCCTCAGCAGCGGCAGCCTTGACGGCATCGGAGGGAGCCGACTTCTTGGCGGCCGCGGCCTTCTTCTTCTTCAGGGTCTGGGGCGGAGGTCCAGATGCGACATCGACCGGTGATTTGGGAGCCTGGGGGAGGGGGCGCGGGGCGTGGCGCGAGGCAACGGATGTTTTGAGCGGGGGTCGGGTTTAGGGTTTAGGGCTGGTTCGGGTTAGCTGGTGGCGGGGGGCTTTGTTCGAGAAAATGAAAGGACATGAAAAGCATCTGGGATGCTCTGAAACGATGGTGAGAGACCATGTTCAGCTAGTTGGCCAGGGCAAGAGCTCAGTTTGCGGAGTGGTGGTGCGATGGATTGGGAGGTCCTTTTTCCGGATCGGTCTTATCGAGAAGACCTCGAACAAAGAGTCAAAACAACCGTCCTCCGCTGGACCCCCCGCCGAATGGATGATATGGTGGGCTCATCCACGAGCGAAGAGAGGGAAGACATATATTTGAAGCAACGACCTAAAAAATGGACATGGCTTCCGCCGGGTCTTCTGTATCGACTTTTTTCAGACCTCGGGTAGACTTGAATGAAGTTGCAAAGGCACAATCTGAGGCACATAAGGCACTAAACAAAAGTTGTTATTCCGTCCATCTCGGGAATTCTGAGGGCCAACTCAGATGACAAGTTACCATGGAAAGGACTACGAAACGATACAAAACCTGCAGCATCGCATCGACTGCCGGTGAAGGCGCACTGCGCACCTCTAGCGCTGCTTGCTTGGCAGCTTCATCGAGGACCTGTTCTGTTCGCTAGACGCGGTGGAAGCCCCAAATCCGGACAAGCACGGCTACAAAGCGAAGGGCGTCAGAGAGTTTTCTGCGTACAAGTACCTGGTGTGTGCTGGTCTCAAAATAGCGAGCCTGATAATGAGAACGATTTGGAAAAAGGACGTGCCATCGCAATTGTTGCGGAGGATCTTTGACGCAGCCCCCGGTCTTGCCCACATTATGATAGTGTATTCACAAACGGGCGGTCCGTGACAAAGCCCCGAGCTCCAAATGGTAATATAAACCACAAAGCAAAACCCTATATTAGGCAGTAAGCATGAGCTCTGCCCCGCCTTCTCCTCACCATCGCCATTCTCCTGAGCCCAAGGGCCAAGAGCGGGGACTGGCTGTGGGAACATGGTTTTTGATGGGTTTCTGCAATGTCTTATTGTCATTGATATATTTGGGAGTGTAAATCCCTTTCCCCAACCGTCAAGAACTCACCAGTATCTTTTCACCTTTGCCTGGACTTTGAACATCTCCAACATCCTCTACAGTATATAATTCCACAATAGCGCTCAGTCGTGCCAACACGAAGCACGGAGGAGGGGAGCGAACACGCACGCACACGTCGCCCGAATGCGACGCCGGCACGATCCGGCTGCACTTGCGCGACGGCGAAAGGGACCTCCTTTTCTTTCGGAGCCTTTTCCTGGAACCGGCCATGTTCCACCGTTCTGGGAGCAGGTTGGAAATCGTTCGCCAAAAAGGCTGGATCAGGCAGGTGACTTCAGTGAGGGCGGGAAATTCCACTAATCAAGAGAGATTGGCCTTACGCTGTGCTCAATGCCAATCTCTCTTGAGTTGAGTTCCAACTGCCGAAGTTGTTGACTACCTCTTAAGCGTTGCTTTGATTGGCCTTCCTCTTCCATGGCTAAACAGCGAGCAAACAACTTGTAAAGACTGAGCTACCATGCGCATCGCTGTGCGTCTGAGGTATCCCAAGAACAGATGTCCGGCGAGAAGTCTTTCTGATTCTGGCATTGACCATGATGAAATCACCTGCAATGAACCATATAAACATCTGGTTAACCGGGGAATATATGGTTTTATCAGCTACCCTTTTGGACAACAATATCCTTTCAAAGCATTCACATGCTCCTACCGAAGACTTGAGGAATCCTGAGAAGCTTGAGTATTGCACGTCTTGCAACACATCCTCACTTTCTTGCACTTGGAAATCCACCGCACGGCTCCCACTCGCCGAACCTCTTTGGCTTTGGCTTTCGCCTTCTCTTCCTAGCAAAATCCCCGACACGATGACGAGCACGCTGAGCACCAGCACGGCTCCCGACGTGTGTCACTGGCGGCGTTCTGGTGCGAGACCCAAAGGATGGCCGCAGTGTGTGGATGCGAATTGCACCAACTGCTTATCATGATCAGTATCTGCGGGTATCTGGCACCTCCTTGCCCAAACACCATGCGTTTCATCAAAAAGATCCTGGATGTATTTCCGCGAAACAAGCATCATGAAGTCTCTCTCCAAGCTATGTACCCTGACAAAAAGAACAGAGCAACCAACAGAAACGCACCAAACCTGCCGTCAACTCCAACAGAATCACTGTCCAACAGAATCCCGCCTTCCCGTCGACCTTAGAGGCATCGGGGTAGCCTCCTGCACCATCGGTGTCGGCCTGGCGGGCGCAGGGCGCAGAATGCTTCGACATGTCTAGCAATATGGTTGGTTCGGTCACGTCACGAAGCCTCCTCAGGGTCACTGGGTCACTGAACCAAAGGTCACTTTGAAGAAGCTGGTCTAGCAATATAAGTTTCCTATAACCATGCATGGGACCATGGGACCATTGCCGCAATGCATTGACCTTGGAGACAAAAGCCTCTAGGAACCAACAGATTCTTCGAAAAGTAATGGACCATTACAGTAGAACCTGTGGAGATATTCTTGGATATGTTATGATATGCTAAGCCCACTGCTCAGCCCTTTATTTAACTTCAAGCAACATGCGGGCTTTATCATGTGACACTCCTCGAAGAGGTCCATACGATCTCTTTCAGTTCCCTCGAGCTACGGATCCTCACGTTCGGTGCATCTGAAGATGCAGGAACGCGGTCCCGCGCTCCTTATAGACAAAGTCCTGTACCTCAACATCCCGCACATGGAACGCACCTCCTTCTCCTTCTTCTTTCCTTGGCAATTCATGGAACGTGATCGCTTCAAAACGACCAAGAACGAGGAATCATCGTCAAACACTTCATCCGCACGAGGGATCGAGCTCCACCCACCGTCTGCTTTACTACTCCCAACTGGCATGCCCGACCTCTTCAACCAAGGTATCTCAAGAAACACCAAGGTATCTGGATCACTCAAACACTTCTTCGAGGCCTTCGACCAAGCTTGTGGCATGTCTTTGGCAAAGGGTCTCTTGAGAAAACATAGAGAGAAACCATGTTCACCTCTACTTGAGACTGTGCCGGTACTGTTTTCATTCTTTGCACCGCTTCTGTTGGCTGCGAAGTCGTCCATGTTCTGCCAGGTGTCTGTTCTTCTTTGAAGAAGATGCTCCACCTTGCCTTAAGAGAGAGAGAGGTCCCAAGGGCCAAGGGAAGGTGCCTGTTTTGGCAAAACAGCTGCTTGGCAAAACAGACCAAGTGAAGGGTCTTCAGCTTTTGAGTCGACCTAACAGGAGTAAAACACTGATATGAATAAGTCACCAAGGTGCTTTTCTTGGTGCCAATATGTGTCAATGTTCCCCCTCTCAAAGGGAGAACTTTGGTATCAATCCTGGTCTAAATGAAACCCAAAGTTGCGGAGACAAATATATACCTACTTCTTGTGGGGCATGTTTGGTTATCAATTTCCACATAGGAACTGCTAGCAAAGATCCCACAAACTGGATCTGACACCTACAAATTCTGCCTGCTACTTTCCAGGCTTGACTGCTAAAGCATGCTAAAGCATGCAAAGCATGCTAAAGCAAACAAACATCCCCATTTGTTCATTTCGTCATTGGCATCAAAATCTCTTCCAACCCGAACACATGATACCTCCAACATCTTCACACAACAACATGGACGCCGGACGCCGCAACATTCGAACTGGCTCAATGAATGTCTCAGTGCGGCCTCCCTGCAGGGAAGCATCCGATGGATCGTCGCTCATCTCCAAGGGATCTTTGGCATGTCCCATGTTCCAAACCCAAAACAAAGCGGGCTCGTGCCGCAAGATCGGCACACCCGTCAGGGGTGTTTTGGCAGCATATACCATGTTTGCCCGTGAAACAGCATGGTTTGGCCCCACCCAGGATGCCTATACACCTTGACAGCAAAAGCGCCCTGGAAAGTGTTCAACAACCATATATCACTTCTTTCTAGCATCTTCTCCAGGATGATTTGGCTCTCTTGCTCTCTTCGGGTCTGCCTCCTTCTGTCCAGTGGCTCTTGCTGAGGGATGTCGATCCCCAACTCACCAAGAATCGCATCCAGGTCCTGAAGCAACGGAAGCGGCGGAAGGGGCGGTTCTGTCGCGCGGTGTTCGTTCTCCTTCCAAGCAATCGAGTGCTTACTGAGGTTTCGGTTTCAGTCAACATGTGTTAAAAAGGAGGCTTTGTTTAAAGCAAGTAAAACATCTCCAGGGTCCCTAGTGAAGGAGATGACATGTCGGTTCTTTCCGACAATTGTGGATCGTCTCGTAAACACCACCAAGTGGCTCACTGACATCCGGAGTCACCCCACAAAAGAATTTTATGATTTCAGGGTGAGGTCAACAGTAGACGAATGCACGCAAGGTGAACGTCACCAGGGAAAAAAACTATCCAGTCTAATCCCTACACCTCCAAGTACCTCCTCAGAAGGTATTTGGACCCTCCAAACCCACCCCAAACACCTTCTCAGAAGATACTTGGAGGCCTAGGGAATTAGTTGAGATCTTATGATGTTATAGCTCTTGTCCCACTCAAGTTACTGAAGGAGACTACTTGACACTTGACACTCGCACCTTCAATCCGAATAAGCTCCTCAGGGTGTCGTGGCACACGAAGCTTGTACAAACCCGCCCCAGTCGTTTCTACCTACATCGTGCTATATCTCACCGAGGGTCCGGTCATGATCCACAAATACGGTCACCCAGCTACAATTGACTGACAAGTGACAGCTTGAATCCTTCCAATCGGAAGTCCGTTTGCCATATTCAATCCACTCCCTACAAACTGTACTAGAGATGCTTGCTTCCAGGGTACCAGCCAATCATCCATTCAACATCCCCCCAGTGTGAGCTTCGACTTCCACCCTTTCTTTCTCACACGTGTTCCCCATCACTTGCTTGACGGGGGTCCTCATCCTCGGGCTTCACAACCTTCTTTGCTTCCTAGGAGCAAAGAGCATTTTTGCCAGTGGACACGCATCACGTGAGTAGACTGCAAGAAGAGGTGTTGGTGTGGGGAGAGATCAGCAATAACAATTCATGGCGCCATTATAAATCTATATATTTGACGATATATGAACCAATTAATCGAATTGTCTGTCATCTAGCCGGATGTTCAACTGAAATTCTGCAGCATTCCTCTTTCGAACCTCGAGTTCACGAACCAACTCATTCAAGTGCAAAACAATGCAAACACCAATTCTTCCAACAAATCCCCTGCAGTGATGACTGTTTTGATGACTTCACTTCAGTAATCTTCGGTCCTTCTTGTTCTTCCCGCTGGATGGAGCCTCGCAGAGCCGTGGAGGGCGAGTTCGCGAGCGAGCGAAAAGCAGATCGACCGTGCGTACGACGTGTTCAGGTTCAATCCGGCAGCTTACTGGTATATCCATCAAATAACCATCATTGCAGTCAAGGAAACACCATTTAAAAGAAATACACGTTTCTTTTCTGGTATAAGAGTCAGATCAGAAACATTATCCAATGAATGCTCATTAGACCCTGGTTCTTCAGTTCGATGTTGATCGACACGTTGATCGACCCTCGCACTGGGGGAAATGGGGACCGATCCAGCGGAGGGTCCATGGGAGCAACCGGTGAGCGGTACGATGTCATAGCCGCGGTACGTTTCTTCAGTTCATGACCGAATCGGGTTCATCCCCGGAGGTCACGATCAAGGGCCTGGAAAAGGTCACGAAAGGTGGCTGAAGGGACTCCAAAAGGGATCCAAAGTTTGGACCACGTACTGAAGAAGCTGGCGGATTGTGTCTCCAACACGACATCATAGGTGATTGTTGCGAAACACGAAATGAACACGGCAAGCTTGTCGTTCTGGACGATCCTTTTTGCCGGACCGTTGTGAGCATGTCTTGTTGGACCAATAAATAGACCCATCTTCGGCCATGAAGGGAATCGCACAAATCAATACGTGGCTGTCGAACTGTCGAACCATCGCTTGACCCAGATTTCCTGGGGCCACTCCTGGCAGCTCATGACGTGCGCCGCGTTCGCAGCCCGCGAGTACTGCCTGTGGTGCCTCTACCTTTGGAGGTTCCTCCCGCTGCTCCCAGTCCTGACGGATCCACACGAAGGATGTCGCGAAAAAAACGAGGAATTGGAGCCTTTCGAGATTTGGTTGACATGTTTGTTAGTTAGTTTTATAAGCAAACATGTGTAAAATGAGATCAACAAACACAACAAAACATCTCTCCAGATCAGTAGATTCCCTCGTTTTGGGTATTGAGATTATAAGTAAATTAAGTATATTGGTACTTCTATCACACATGACATGACTCACAATCAGGAGTGAACTCTCCCAGCCCATGATCTTCCAACTGTGCAACATGTCTGCCTGCTTTAGCATCTCAACATGTCTCTATGAATAAACAGAAAAGGCAAACATATGTTGTAAAAAAGTGGTTTGACATGTAGGTATATGGTCACTCTGTTCTTCGTCGGTCCATGAACCCTGGCTGTTGCTTCATCCTGCGACCCAGTACCATGTCCTGACCGAATGGTCAGGACTCCCCATTGGTCTGTCCGTGGTGCTATATTTAAGTGGATGACATTGGCAATTAAGGGTATTGGCAGTGAGTATTTGGCATATCTATGATTGGCAGTGGGTTGGTCTGTATTGGCTAGGCTGCTAGGCTTTGCTGCAGGGGGCGGCGCCAATCAAATACCCACTAGGGTATTTGTATTGCTTTGTGTATGCTAGGATAAACTTTAGAACCCACGCAGGGGGCGGTGTAGCTTCTCAATACATTCCAACTCAAAGAACTTAGACAAATCCTTAATTTGCGAACTACCTACGTCCAACGTGAAAATACCAATGAAATCCCAGCCAATGAAGTGCTCAATGCGCCATAATGCGCCAACTGCAGGGCCATTCAGGAAAGTAAAACCCATGACAGAGAAACTTGAAGAAAGGAAACTCAAATTACTCGGACACGTGCTCAGAAGAGAAAAACAACACCCTCAACACCAAGTCACTTTCTCCACAACATCAGCAATGCCAAGAGAAACGACAAACCGCAGGGTGGGAAGACCAAGACTCTGCTGGACCACAAACAACATGAAAAAGACCTATTATGTGTATCAATAACCAAGCTCGGCCAAGACAACATTTCAACAAGTATAATCGCAATATGAGAGAACAAACTATTGCACAAACAATGCAATATCAACCACCCTTTCAATAATATCTATTCAGAAAGCAGTCGCAAAAATCGCCTCTCAGTGTGAATATCCTCAATGTGAATCTCAGTGTAAAATCACCTCACCTTCACACTTCATGCATTTGCTTATTTGATCGTAGTCAATGGTGGGGACAGTGAGTGTGCCGGTTAGGTTGTAAATGTATAGTTTCTGGAAGTAGGTTAGTGCCAACGACTTGACGCCTTGATAGGTGCATGGGATAGTTATGGCATAAACAAAGGCATTGCTGCATCAATCTTGGCCCTCTGGTACGGTGTACCGGCACATACCTCAGCAAAGGTCCAGTCTCCAGTCATTCGACTCTGTGTTCGCCGGGAGAATTCTTCACTGATCGAGGCATCTCGCTTGCTGACCACGGTGCTCCTGCGACCCATGAAGCTACACCCGACACACACCGTCCAACGACCCGCCCAACGGGTCACTCCTGCACAGGTGCCTGCCAAACCGTGCGTATCGGTGCGTACGTAAGAGGCGGTCGCGCGAGACCACGTGCGGGTGCGGTTCGACCGATCTCGCAACATCTAAAGCGTGCATTAAAACCGATTGGGCGCTGGTTTTCTGTCAGCTTTGGATTTTGAAGTAATCTTTTTTACATGGGTTTTGATGGTCTGCCGAAGCATCAATGGGAAGATGTATATATGATGTGGATGTATACTACCCACCCAACTCCTTCTTGCCCACTCACCGACTTTCCCACCCCCGGCCCCACCCCTACCCTCACCAGCACCACAACCGTTAATACCACTGTTTGACCCCTTCAAGCCTTCCCGACCTCTGGGCCTTCAGACCGCCTCCATCCCGACCGCCATCCCGACTGCTTCTTCGCGCTCCGCGCACGCGCCGCGCGCGCCGCGCGCGCCGTCGTCGGGCCTCGGGTGCATCGCCTGCCTCGCTTTCGGTCTCGGTGTCCGAGATGGGCGCCTTGACGTTCAGCTCCTCCGGTTCCGGACGGGTCGGACGGCGGTTGGCGGGTGGTTGGCGCGCGCGCGCGAGTAAACCGGTCGGGTCCGGTGTGGGGGTTGTGGGTTTGGGTCATGGAAGGGCTTGAGCGGAGACAGAAAGCAAAGAACCAAATGAAATGTTGACGCTGTTTTCTTCTTTCGCAGTTCGGAAAGGGTTTCAAGCCACCGGGCAACGGGCTTCCTGTACTTGGCCTCAATCCTTCACTCGGTGTTTCCCCTTCAAAAGGCCGATCTTCTGTGCCGAGGACAGCAAAGGTCACAAGGCCACCCAGCCTTCCCTGCACCTGAATCAAATGACCAGCCAAATGGAGGTCAAAAAGGCGAACGTTCGTGTGCTCAAAGGCACTCAAAATGCTCTCCAAACCTCTGAGCTTCGAGATCGCCACGTAGTCCGGCCATGGCATCAGACCGAAGAGAACAAAGTCTATGTAGTGCTTCCCAGTCCATCAATCGCCGTGTGTGATGAAGGCAAACTGGGAAAGTTTCACCAACAGTGCCATGAGACCGAAGCCAAGCAAAATGAAGGCATACAGGGCTAGAAGGGCCCAAAAGAGCACCATTGCTACTGCCAACGCGTCTGTGTCTGTATTTTCTGAGACTTAAAAATCGAACCCAAGGACTAATCAGCATTGCTTGCCATTGCCCACACTAATGTTGGGTTTGCAAGGGTCAAACATTGGAGTGCTGACAAATTGCATGCCAATTTCATGGCAGCAGCGAACACAAGCGCGTAAAAAAAGGGCTTCTCGGAGTGCAGAACCCCCAACAAAGACACTGCCAAATACAAGAAGGTACATGTTGCAAAAATACCTTCACCCCAAACCACTAAGTGCAGTTCCAGTGCCCCAATCCTTATGCGTATCAAGAGCACCAATTCTTGATGAGCAGTACATGATGAGACCCAGGTTGCCCAATGCTCGCATCCCAAACCAAAGGAAACAGCACGCCTGAGAAAGTGTGGGATGTGTTCCACAGGCATCTTTGACATCCTGTTCCGTGATGTTTGTGGAGAATTCACACGTCATTACTTCAGGCGAATCAGTTTCGGACTCATCAGGCAAATCTGCTTCCGACTCTTCAGCGTCATGGAGTCCTTTCTTGTTCAGGATAAGAAGGATTGGTATGCAACAAGCAAGGAGGGAGACGAGCAAACCAGCTCCAAACAGCGTCCCCATGAGCAGCTGGTCGCGTTGGGACGCTTCATTCTTCCAATAATATTCAGCTGTCAGCACATGAAGTCGAAGACAAGTCCAGCTCGCATGAAGACACCGTGCAGCAAAATGCAATTGCCAAACCACGAATCAAAGCCCTGCGATTTGAAAGCGCATGATGTGGCTAAAAGGTACTTCTTCGCGACGAAAGGCTGCGGTTCAACCATGTCACATGCACAAAAAACTTTCTCAACAATGTCATCAAAGGACCTTGGGGTGAGGCCCAAATCAATGGCCCCCCGTAGGGTCATGCAACAACGACTTGCTTTCATGCTTGCACCATGATTCAACACGCTCGAATTCGGCCGTCCTCATCGTCCGAAGCATCCGCCCACTTCCCAACGTTGGTGGGAACCTTGCACGTTTTGCGCTCGGAGTCTGCGATTCTTAGGAGAACAACGAGGTCAAAACGCATGGAGAGGCGAGGCTTCCGAGGTGTTGGCTCAAAGGATTTGGGACAAAAGGACAAAATATGACACAATTTACTAACATGCAACCCACAACCCTGAATGCACACACGCACTCGGAAACAAACGGCCAGACATTGTTTGACACTCTTGCGGGACACTCTTGTAGGGCACTCTTGTAGCACAGTCTGGTGGGACACTCTTGTACACAGTCTGGTGGGACACTCTTGTAGTACAGTCTGGTGGGACACTCTGGTGAAACACTCTTTGTGGCACACTCTCATGGGACATTGTCGTGGGACACTCGGTGAGACACTTTTGTGGACACTCGAACTCTTTGCCGGACACTCTCGGGATACTTGTCGCTCTGGTGTGCTCTTTTGGGACAGTCTCATGGGACACTCTTGTAGGGCACTCTCTTGTGGCACGCTCTTTGTATACGGCACTCTTGTAGGACACCCTCTTTGAAACTGGCGACCGCAAATCATCATGGCACTGAGCCATGCAATCGCACTTCCACCAAAGCGTGCCAAGCCCCATGGCCCGCGACATCATCACAAGGCCAACCGTATGGCACAGCGACCTTGCAAGGGCCGCATACAAAAAGCATCCAAAAGCCACGTGTCCTGTCCTGCATGTCAAGCCTCCAAAAAACGAGCCTTTCGCTCGAGACATCCTCCAAAACTCACGCATCAAGTCTCCAAAACGAGTGCTTCGTTTGAGGCTTCTCCCAAGAATCGCCGCATCAAGTCTTCAAAATGACCGTTTCGACTGAGACTTCCTCCAAATGCCAGACTGAGAACTCTCCAAGTCTCACGACTCCCTGCGCCTGCCACACATGTCTTCACCAAAATTTGCACCATGCCATTGGAATCGGAGCACACTCACATCAACCAAAGCCGCAAGTTTAACTGAGACTTGTCACAAAAGCAGAGCTTCGAGGCCAGGGACTGAAAAGCGAACCGGCACAGCGACGCTCAACACCCGAACGCCAAGCCAAAGCAAATGAGGATCTCACGAAACGCTGCACCTGCGCAGCCAAATCGTCCTCCACACTTCTACGTGATTTCACACGTATATATCTGACACTTCAGGTTTCTATCAAAAACCTCCTCCAACATCTTCCCCCAAGGGCACGGCCTTATCGATCACATTCGGTAGCTACGTCACGCAAACAACGGTCTACCCTCAGACTCAGACCCCCAAAATAACGTTAACGAGAACCCTTCGCTACGAGTTCGGGAAACAACCTTCCTCTTCAACTCGGCACGGGCTTTTGGAGTGTAGAGGGTTAGTTGAAAAGCGGTGAAGAAGGTTTTAGAGTCTAGATTAAGGAACGGTTCAGACCATAAAGATCAAGTGGACATAGTCCCAGAGTCATATGTTCTCTTTCACCTCTCAAAATAAAGACAATTATATACAATTACATATCATCATATATCCCAATTATTTCTCGGCTGATAGGGCTTTATTATTTCAATGAGAAGTCTGTACAAACTTCCTGCCACTGCACACAAATGCACACTACGGTAGAACAAAGAAAACACTCTTCATCCCCCATTCCACATAGATGCGTTTCCCGCACGGCACGCCAGATCTGGGGTCGCTGACAGGAGCAGCCTTGATCTCTTCAATCTTCTGCTGGCGTTCGAGCTCCTTCTCCTTCCGCCTAAGCCACACGGCTCGGTCCGAAGTGGGTGACTGCAGGTCGGTGGACGGCAAACGAGCAGCACCTGGATCTCCATAGAGTCGTTCATAGACCTCCCTGGTCCCTGTAGCTTCACTGACTGCACCAAACATGAAGTTCTTCATTTGTAGTAGCACACTTATAGCCGCACATATAATAGTAACGTTTCTATAGATGTGACCATTTGTTCAACTATATTGGACTCAAGTTGTTACCTGTACTTTGCACCACTGACCGCCCCGCTCACTTCTTGCCACTCGGAACCCAAAGCCGCCTGAGGATCTTCTTCTCCTGCGTGCCCCGTGTCCCACCCCCGGTGTTGTCTGGGGTTGTGGCCATGTCTACATGTGCTTCGTTATGTAGCATGAACAACAAGTGTAGCCCCGTGACTCCATATGGCAAATGTAATGTGGATGCTTCCAATGTATTTCAAGCAAGAGACTAGAGAGATCATAATGGCCCAACCGAGCTCAACACGTTATGCATGATGTGATGATTTGTCTACTCTATATGGCAAGCATATAACAAAGGAAGTGTGCCTGCATGGGATTACAAAACGATGAACATGCAATGGATTGGGTTTGTTTTGACTCATTCAGTTGCCTATGAATCTGGTCTCCGATCAAGTTACCACTTTCGGCTTGCTTTGGCTGCTTCCCAAAGTGACACTTATAGCCAACCGACTAGCCACGGTTAGCGCTTATAGTCTGTCTGTCTCCCACAGGCCAAGACAATACCAAATATATGTTGATTAGCTGCACAGTGCGGCAATCCGAGATCGACCTTTTCACGCTCGAAGCGTTGGTACTTGGTGGCCCATGCCAGGATTCTCTCTGTTTGGTGTTCGTTTTGGACCAATCCCATGAAAAAGGACACATTCCTATACCTGATCCTACCCTTTCAGTTCCTGATCTCGGCTTATATCACAAAATATCCAGCCGGTGATCGCCGGCGATCTGGATTCTTCCAGAAATGCATTGCCTGCTAAGACCATTCGTACCTGGTCCTACCCTTTCTCCTGATCTCCGTTGAATCTCACCGGCCGGGGTCATTGGTGAGATAAGTTCACGTGAGAAGCACATGTCTTCAGCTCACGAAACAGGTCCGCCCGCAGCCATACCGGCCTCATTGAGCACTGCGAAGCGAGCCGCCATGGCGGCTGTTTGGGTGGCGCTGCGTGAGTGTTCGACGCGAAAGGGTCGTCCTCTGGTCCTAGGCCGGGATCCGGAAAAAGATCGGTGTGGGGAGATGAACGAGTGTGTTACACGAGGGTCAGTTTGGGGGTGGGTGTTTCAAGAACGTTTCTGAAAAGGTGAAACATGCTCTGGGAAGTGTATCTAAAGTCACCGTTCTTCAGCAGCATTGCAGGCCCAAAAAACATATTGGATCGCATAAAGGATTCATATTAATATCTACACACACACACATCGTCATTCTCGCGCCTTGTTCGGCAACTGCTGGCTTAAACCTGCGACTGGTTTGCCGGAGGCGTTCTGTAAGTGTTCAAGCAAATCTTGGGCCATGCTGTTCCAAGGCTTCTAGGAGCAGAATGGATCAGGGGCACCAGCACCAAACAAAGCACAACAATTTGATGAGAAACCCTGATCCGCAAGGGAGTGACCAAAAACGGAAAACATGTCCAACAACTAACAACTCCACAAGTTGCAATATAAATACTGTAGGATTAAATAGGATAGGATATCAATAGGTCTCTCTTGCAAATTGAACAAACTTGTTCGATCCAACTCTAAGGTTTCCTTTGCGAATGTTTGCGATGTTATGAAACCACAAGTTGCTCTTCTGCAACCCTTTGGAAGCCGGTTTTCACCGGTCCCACACTTTGAACCCGCCAACTGTCACCGCGCCTTGCGTGGACGCGGCAAATGCCGATGGCCTGGCGGACCGGAGACGAGAATGAGTGGGTTCCGCGACCAACGAAGGTGGCAAACGTCTGCGAATCACCGCCGCCACCACCACCACCACCACCACCACCACCACCACCCAAGGTGGTTGTCTTTTGGACTTCGGATCGGAACAGTTTGGAAGTTAAGATACTGACCACGAAGGGAAGGGATGGTTCAAGAGACGGAGCGACGGCTAGGCGGCTTGGAATTCTTAGGATCTTGCTCACATGACATGATGCCGACCAATTACTCAACACACTACTCAACATTACTCAACGAGATTCACCTGACTCCCAGAGAGTCCCTGGAAAACCACGGCTCAGCCTCACCTGGACCTGTTGGTCATGAACATCGCAGAACACAAAATATTGGCCAAACAAGTTCCATTCAGTCAGACTAATTGACTGAACCATTCCTGTCTCACCTCACCGCCTGACTTCCCGTCCCGCGGCTTCCCGCCTGACTCGTTCGTTCGGTGGTTTGGAGGTGGAAACCGACCCCGGGCACTCGGATGAAAAATCGCCGCAACGGCAGGGGGCGCAGGGAATGCGGGTGAAGGCTCAAACGGCCGCGGTTGGGTGAAGGCCAGGCGCGGCGCGGCCGAGCGAATCTCAGGTGCCAAGCTGGTGAGGTGTTTGGCGTCATCCGGTGGAACACATGTTTGTCGTCCTCCGGAACTATCAGTGCCGTGTATGGAAAACTATCAGTTTGAACCGAACATATTAAATGTCTGAACATGTCGTCAATTTGAGGCTCTTGAAGCTCTTCAGGTCGTTTTTCAGAGAACTTGGTCTCCAAGAACCAAACGGATGCCGCGTGATGCGCGCTTGATGCTACGCCCCCTTTTTGTGGCCGCTAAACGAAGCCACTGCGCATCCAATCGGGCAAAGGTTCTCCCTTGTTGAAGTCCTCGGCACCTAGAGCTGCTCGAGCGAAGTGAAGTTAGAGCTGTCTGAGACTGTCTTTTGCGCAATGGGACTGGATAAACCAAAACCAAGAATAGTGGTCCTCCCTGCCAGCGCTAAAGTTTCAACTCAAACAAAAAAAGACGCCTGCTGGCTGGAGAGACCACTGAACCAGCATCTCTGGAGGAGTATCTATAGTCAGGCGGGGAAGGGACTATTGAGTAACTTCCAGCAGGCACTATTCTTGGAGTGAGGGAAGGCAATTCTGCAGTAGTTCTGTATGGGCTAGACAGGACTTGGGTCCTGACGAGCTCTGACTGTGTGCGATATCAAATCGATATACCTCAAGATACCCGCCGCAAGCCAAGCAAGCTTGGATTGACGGATTGACAAGCGATGCACACTCCCACTGACCACTTTGGGGTGTGCTTCTCAGTCAGGCAAGCATCATCTCCAATTAATGGGTCAGGATCAGTAGTGACCCTATCCACCCACTTCCTTCGCGTGTTAGTAGATCTGGCAGTGCCCGGGGCCCAAAAGATTGCTTCTGGAGGGTGAACACCTCCATTTGTCCTATATTCCCAACCATTCCCTCACCCTTTCCCACATTTTCGATGTTCACCCCTCCGTATATAAGGACGTCCAAGGCACTATAGTCCGGCAAGCCTTCCAAGGCCCCGAAGATGGCGCCTCCCGTCCAAGCGGCGCAGACTGGCGCGAAGTCCACCGGCGTAAAGCGCAGCTTCGTGGCCAAAGCGGATAAGGCCTCCGACCCACGTGCTGCAAGATGCCGGTAGAGCTGCTAGTAGATCGGAAAGGGCACGGAATGGAGAGCAGGAATGCGACTGAACTGCTGTGTGTGTTTTGTTTGTTGGTTTGTTTTTAGCTGAGGTGTTGAATTGCGACACAGGTCCTTCTTTGTTCTTCTATCTCACATGCACAACGGTTTCTGCAATATCTCGAGTCAAGTTGGCTTTCTCTATATACGCAAAACTGTTCAATGTTCATCTTTGGGTTTTAGGGGTGTTGGATGAGGGCTACGGCTAGACCGGGTCAGGGTCAGCTTCGCTTCAGTTCAACTCCACACCCACGATTCATAATGTGTAATCCCTGTAACCCACCAGTTGACCCCCCTCATGCGGCACATGTAGAGCACACGAGCAACGCGTGTGGCTTCCAGGGCACCTGCTCTTGCCGCAAAGCCTTCTGCAGCTCCTGCGCCAAGCGCGGGAGCAAACCCGGCAGCGTGGCGCAGCCTGCCGTGCACGGCGTCGAGCTGGTTCACCATACGGCGGTGGGCAACTGACCGATTCAGGTGTCGACCTGACTCCAAGCCCTTGTGGAATCTGCTCGGTCTGCTAGGTGATCTTTTCTGCACCCGATCCATTTGAGGTTCCCTGATTGGAGACACTCACAGGGCTGACAGGTACGTCCAGGGTGAACCGTTTCAATTTGATCGAGCAAACCACCATGAGCAAAAACGCTGTTCTACAATCGAGTGAACAATGTATAAGGATGTATCAGAAAAGAGGGACCTCTTCTCCGAAATTACTAAATGACCTTATATAAGATTCATATATAGTCGTCCCATTGCTTCTTAGAGGATAGCTGCAGGGTCCAAGTTCAGGTGGAAAAGAAATACACATGTGTCTCCGTCTCTCCACTTCTTCAGGTCTCCATGTTCTCCATCCACCACCAAATCCCTCCCTCTCCCAGATCCCTCCGCCCACCTCCACCGCCCACCGTCTCTCGCCCCGCCCCAAACGCTCCGCCGCCTCCGCAGAGCACCACGTTCTGCACGAGCGGCGCCCGCAGATCCACCGGGCTCCGCTGCAAGGCTCGGACGAAGGCCTGCCGCGCGGGCGAACGGGTCGAAGGGTTCCGCGGGTTCCGCACGAACGGGGCGAGTAAGGAATCATTCAGTTCGGCGCATCGGGCAGGTCGGAACCGAAGTTCGATTGGGAAATGCCCCAGAATTCAAGATGTCGACCAAGATTTCTCGGGAGTCGGGCTTGTCCGAGTGGTGAAGGGGTCTGTTGCCTCACATTTTGAAGGTATGGGGTCGTTACTGGTTGGGAACATGGAGAAGAGGACATTTCAGACAGAAGTCTAAAACAATACAACTTGTTTGAGAAAAGGCTAAACACATGAAGTCCACCTGTCACTTTCTACATAACTTCCGTGAACATCATATTGGGATGTTTGGGGCATGGAGGTGCATAGTTCGGGTCTACTTTAAGTTCCACCTTAGAGGGCATTGCGTGACTAGCTACAACCCAAGACTACACAGGAAACATGGCAATTGTACGGATCATAGGCTGTGTGGCTTTTATTTTCTGGTGTTTCAAAATCACCAATGAGCCTTTCAGGTAACCTCCTACTCTGAAGATGATCTCCTACTATGTGGTCAACGCAATACCTCCCACTGTACTATTTGTCTATTAAAATATCTTGGATCACTCACAAGCTTAGTGAGCAAACACAAGTATCGGCCCTCGGCAAAATCCTTAGCGGCTTCACCAATGCGCGGATTCCAAAGTGCCCCGAGACCAAACGCGCTATACCCAGACGCTCCAAACAGCCCTTGGTCCCTCAAAACCATAGGGATTTGAGGGTCCAAACCCCTCCATATGAGGGTCCGACCCCTGCATATGAGGGTCCAGGAGCGTCTGGGTATTAAATATATTACCTGTTCATCCTTTATGCCATATTGGCTGATCCTCCTGGATGAGGGTTGGCCAACACGGGCAGGAAAAGGGCACCGTCTCTGCCTCTGGCACCGTCTCGCAAGCGCAAAGGGGCGTCACTGGCGGAGTGTCTGGAGCTTCAAAGAAGAGTTCCTCGTTGAACAGCCGACGAGTCAGAGATGTTTTTCATGGGAAGATGAGAAGGTTTCAGGTGTCGGAACTGTTTGTGCCGTGAAGGATTCTGGCTCAGGGCGCTCGGCTGTGTAGCCTCATCACTCACTCACTCACTCACTCACTCACTCACTCACTCTCTCTCTCTCTCTCCCTTCTTTTTGCATTTCGGACAGACAGTTTGCCCTGCTCGGCCTGGCTCCTTGCAAGTTTCTCATTGAACTGGGCTCTACCATAATACCACCAGCGCATTGCTCGTATGCTCCAAATCTCACACAGGCGTTGGAGGAGAACAGTCCTCTACTCCTAACCTGGTAGTCCCTCCCACCGGCAATTTTGGATGATGATGATGGTTTCTATATGTTTCTATCATACTCAGGAACTCCCTACAACAGCATAACACGATGACGACAACACAATCCATGGCAAACTCACACATGGAAGCTGAAAAAGATACTTGGGGGAGGCTATTTCTTCCTCTACTGGGAGCCCACTGGCGGCGTACTTACGTTGTAACTCTATGTGTTCTTTGGGTCAAAGCTACTTGCTTTCGGTGCTTCGTTACATGATCGCCTCTCTCCTCGGCTACTCGGACCGTCCGCAACCCGTCCGGTCCAAACCGAAACCACGCCCAGTGTCCGTGGCAGCGCACCGGCAGGCGGCCGGGACCCGCAAGCCTTTCTCGGAGCCCGCGATCCGCACCTGGACCCGAGGCGGGAGGGCGAGATTGACACGACCGGGAGGGCGAGCCAGGGAGGGAGGGAGGGAAAAGGTGAGGTGTTTGAATGGGACTTCCTTTTCAGTGCTTTAACCTGCAATACTACCGTGAAGGTGTGTCTTTTGATGGAGACTGGAATGCCTGTATGCCGAAGAACTATGCCGAAAAGAAGGAGAGAAAACAACTGCAACTGCTTAAGGTAGAAGCGTGTGCGGGGATGCAACGCCACAGACTTGAACTAAGCATAACAAGTGCATGGAAGTGGATTTGCCTCGGCATCTTTGTCCGTTTTCAGGGATCTGGCCGGATATTCACCATCCTGCCGAGCAAGCAAGCAGCTAGGCGGCGGAGCGGAGAGGATGAAGATGTGCCCCTCTTGCTTGATGAATGGTGGACGGTGGACCATTCCTAAGACTGCATGGGGGAAGAACCACATTTAAGAACAAAGCTGTAGCTAGTGAAGACAAACAACAAATCCCAGTCACAGGAGTTTCCTTCAGTCAACTTGTTAACAGCACCAGTTTTTGTCGTGAAAATGGTACTTCTGGAGAATGTCCCAGGAGGTTGGCTCTCACACAAGGTCGGTTTCTGCAAGAAACACTCTGAACACGTCTGGTGCAACTATAGACCAAATTCACCCACGGACACTTTTGGGATTTCTAAATATTTTTAGACCATCTGGACTGGAATAGTTACGAGTTGCTCCCTTGATGACCCTAATGTAACTACAGTAGCTCGTTCCATACTCTCTTCCATGCATGGGTGCTCTAAGACGGACCCCGGCGTCTGCCAGTCCTTTTAAACGCGTTTGCGTCCCACGGCGAAGGTGTCCGGTCCTCTGGAAAGTCACACGCCACGTAGCAGGCACAAACTAAGCAATCTTCCTGGCCCGATCCACGGCGTCCGTGACGCGGTGTTTTTTCAAAACGAGCGCCTCTGCGAAAGTTCTCCACATGTTGGGATCTAGGCTCGCACCACCAAAAAGAAGTCACAAACTTCAATCACTCTATGGGACTGCCATGTATGCCTACAGATCAGTTGGGGTTGACTGGGGGGTCAATGGGGCGGCATATAAATGGCAGTCCCATGGAGTGTCTGGGAATCGGGATTTCTTGCGTTGAGACCGAGTTGCATGGAAAATCAACCTTCATCCCGTCTCTAGCTGTTTCTCCCTCATAGAAAGGTAATGACCATCTGATCCCATGAGGAGTCGAAGAACATATCGCCTGCATCCCGACTAGCTGATTCATGCGCCAGCTCTACCCTCGAACCCTCGACAGTTGTAGGTCAAAAAACAACATTAACCCCGCTTACCCAACAACGTGAGCCAAACATTCTTGGATTTCTCAACCAATCCCACTGTGTGCGCATATCATATGGGGGTTTCTTCCAGGGTTTTGTTCTTTCGATGGCTCAAGATCCATGGATCTCCACATATCTCCCCTCTTCGACCGATTCAAAAAAGATCAAAATCAACCTCAACCTGCAGTCTATATACAGTCTCCTACAACTCATGTACTTTTCATCAATCCCCTCGGCCCAAATCTGGCCAGATCAGTCTCTCTTTCTCTCAAAAGACATTAAATTATCATTATACAGTCTCCGTTTTCGTCACATGTATCACATCAATCCATCTCTCAATTCCCCGCCCAGCGATCCGCCCCCATGCGATCCGCCGCGTGGCTCAGCCGAGGAGCCAGGAGCGTTTCGTCCTCCAGGGCCTTGGCGGCCTCTTCGCTCGTGGACAAGGAGACCTTCAGTGCCTCGATGAGAGTGGGAACTAAGGAAGTGGGAGCCTGCAAACATCGAAATCACACACGGTACATGTACGACGTGTACGTATACGTGATGTGATGTTACATGTATCGACGTGAAAATAGACTCCTCCGAGCCGACGAAAGATGTTCAATCCAAACCCCGCTAAAAAAAAGGACTATATAACTATATACATATAACTACAGTAACTCAAAGCTTTGCTGTCGTTGTTGGTTGCTTTTGCGTTGCTTCGCTTGTGGTTCTTTGCAGTCATGTCTGTCATCTAACGACAAGAAAATGACTGTGACTATTGATCACTGTGTCTATTTTATGGGGACGACTCTCATGCAAAATTTAGTCTTGGACTGCCTGCAATCACCTCGTTGAGTCTGAATGTTCCACAGTCGCTTTGCAAATCCAGTCGCTTTGCCTACAATTGCATAAATCTGAGCTTGCTTGCAAAGTTTAAATAACTACGTTGCTTATATATGCTTATATGATATCTTACAAACAACCACTTCTGCTGATGCTGGGCCCCAGTGATTGCGCCTCGCACCAACTCCCCAGCTCCCACGCTCGCAGTGATCGGAGCTCGCCTGAAGAAGGTGCTTGGCGCCACAGGAGGCGTCGCTGAAGGCGGAGAGCACGGGGACCCCAGCGAAGGTGGGCAACACGCGAGAGGAGCTGTAGCCCAGGTCGATCTCGGCGCGAAGAACAAAACACGATTGAAAGACGGGAAGGAGTGGATTTGAGTGGATGTGAGGTGTGTTTTCAGTCTGGCCTGCTCTCCCCGTCCTAAAAGGCACCTCAGGTATGATCTGGGGTTCCTTGAGTTGTCACTTGGGAGTTGATGTGAGTGCTTTTCGCCGATCAGCGTGGCGTCCCGCCGGTCGATATTTACGACACACCGCGGCCATGGCAAGAGCTGAAAAGGAGGATCGGATCGACGAAGGGCGTGGTCCGTGAAAGCGTGGGATGGTGTTGGAGATGGTCCAACGGATGGTGTCCGTTTGTCACCAAGCTAAGGTACTAAGTGGAAACATCCGGAAGCCGCTGAGCTCCCCTTCGCCACAGTCGTCACAAATGGCAAGAACTCCTACTACTTGTATAGTCCTATATAGTCCTATGATCCTATGCGCATTGATTGTGCATTGCAGTGCTGAACCCAAATTGCATGATCAGAGCGGTTGGAAGGTCTTCGACTTGCGACACCACTTTGCCATGGACTCTGATTGGGGCAGAAGACCGCAGGAGACCGTGGAAAACAGCAGCCCTTGAGGCTGTGGACCTTCTCCGATAATTCAAGGGCACCGTCTATCACTGGTGAGTGTAGGGAGGTGGCTGGATCCGTGTAGCCTCGGGACAAGCGGATGACATCCCCAGGCATGCACACGGTAGATCAACCAACCACTGGATACATCTGGATACCAGGTGACCAGGTGGTTTACCTAGCTGCTGCTAGCGCCGCTAGCAGCTGTCTTCAGCATCAGTTTTCACCAAGTGTTCGATGATGTTTGATGTTTCTTGGGAGCGAAATGGAGTGCTCAACTGATTTGGGTTCGCGGCACGCTGAGCAACACTAGTGGAAGGTCCGGACGGCTGGCTGCCGGGACATAAGATGTTTTCGCAAGAAATGCACCTGCAAAGGATAAATGACACAGTATGACACGTCTATACACATCTTATATAACCAGCTTTGAAGAACTCACCTCGTTCAAGAAAGTTACACTCCCAACCGTACCACACTTCATGCATCTTCATGCTGTATCTTCCAAGATACCACCAGGCCCGTATGCAAGCCCGTCCTCGGAGAATGGCTCTTTGCTCACTCAGGGGTCACATGGAGTTGCTGCCAATGGTGCGTTGGACGAGGACAGGATCTGCAAACGATGAAGATTTGAACCCCAAAACTCTGACTTCGGAGCCGTTTCCCTGAAAAATACGGCTGAACCGAACTCTGCACCTGTTCATGTGTTAGGAAAGCCAATCCCCCAAAGAGATGTCCACCAAAGGGAGTTTCCGGTGATCCACTGACTGGGTGAGAACTGATCCTTTCCGTCTCTGGATGAGTCTCTGGCAAAAAGGGCCTTTTTCAGTCAGCAGCTACTCTGAAAGGCGGGTGAAAGCCTTTGATGACCTGCCAACAAACATGGAGAGAGCAGGGAACGGGGTGTGGGGAACGGCGTGTGAACCCTTTGGACTTGATTGTTCCTAGCTTCCTGAATCCAGGTGATCGTATATGGGAGCAGCATCTGATGAAAGGTGCAAGAAATGCTGTTGAGCGCTGTTGATGCAAGCAGCAACCCGCTAAGTACTACCAACCAAATGGCTTGGAAACCATAACATACAGGAGACTCTTTAGATGCTATCCTGCTGTAGGTGTCGAGGAGTATCTAACATAATATCCTTCCAAGGAAACTTTTGTGGATGTTCGAGACATGGAAAACACACAAAAACACCGTCTGTGGTGTTGCCTTCTTTCCCACTCTTCCAAACATCCCACCAGGGCTATATATCGACCGTGTTCTTAATTTTCAGCTGACCATCCCCAAGAATGCGGCAAACATGTCGTGTTTCTTAGGGGATTTCTAAAATAGTGGCTGCAAGAACAGTGAAGGCACTTCCGGGTGCAACTTCAGTCTTGGGAAGTTCCACTCTCTGACCTCCTCTGAGTCTGAAGAAGTCTGAAGGCGCCATACCCGCACGAGGCAAGAGCGCGGGACAAGCGCGAAGCCGCCATCCGGTGGCTCTGAATGGAACATGCTCCGAGCATCAAGTACAGAGGTAGCACGTTCTCCAACACGAAGCACAGCGAGTGCACCGAGAAGACCTTGAAGAGGACTGTCGCCAAAGCAGACCTGAAGGCGGATGAAGGCAGCAGGTAACTTGGTACATAAAGACTATCTAAACGTTTGAAAGACCCATTTGAGCAGTAGCTCATTTGACTTTAAAGACCTTAGTCTAATACTTTCATGGGCTTGAAAGTAAAGCCGGCCCTACGTCAAAGCCAGACCTCATGACCTACCTGGTGTCGTTCGCGGCCGGTGGACCACACCTCCAGGTAGCCAACCCCCCGCTCGATCTTCCAACCGACCTTGGACACCTCAGCAGACCTCATCCAGCCCGGAAAAATGATGCACATCTGACCCCATCTAGCATCTCGATGTGTGAAAGTGAAGCTCACATGGCTTTTCACCGTTACCAAAACCGTCCACGATCTGGTGGCGACCTGCACATACTAAAACAAATGACATGTGCCTTGGCAGAGCGCCACTCATCAGCTAAAATGATGGATCTCTGCACCAGTCAGGCTTCTTGTGAGTCGTTCCTCCTGTATTTTCACTGCCTCCTCGAAACTCAGCAACTAACTGAATGAATACCCCAGTGGGCTCTTTCAAGACTTCTCCCACCAACGCCATGTCTTCCCAAACGAAACCCACCGCATGGTCCAGACCGTCTATCTGGCGTTCCGTCCACTTTCCCCACAACCACCGAACACCAAAAACCTGTGACAAATCCACGTCCGGTTCCCCCTATCTCGCCCCCAAAACCAACCACAAATCCTGTGACACCTCCAGTTCCGTCATGTTCCGTCCACATGTCTCGGCCCCGCATCGCCTAAAGGGCCGGGAAGAAAAGACCGCGTCGCAGACCACGATGCGTCGGTCTTTGGGGCTGAGGTGAAGGTGCTGAAAGAAGATCCTCGACTGACGAGACCCACGAGACCTGTGGTTTTGGGCAGGTGAGCGCTCAGATAGCCTGTTTGGGGGGACGGGAGGGGAGTGGGAAAGAGGGAAGAACAGGGGAGATGTAGATATTCAAAGAAATTCAAATCCTGACCTGAAGGACATACTTCATATGTTTGTTATTGTTTGTTGGTTCTTCTTGTTTCTGTTCGGCCTTGTTTGGGAAGGCAACGTGCCCATGGGATCGTGTTTTTGCTGCTTTTTCGATCAAGACTACCAATTACTTATATACTTGAGATACCGTGGCTATCTGTGGCCCATATGAGTCAGCTTCTGAGTCAGATGGTTCACGTTGAATTCCCCTGGTTATTCTCAATCACAAGCTGCTCATCCTAACCGAATCTTCTTGAGTCATTTCCATGATACCACGCATGGAGAAGGCACCATTGGAAACATGTCAAAATTACGTGACAAATTTCCACACCAATGAAGCTAAACATTGAGGAAACTTCTTTCTGCACGCATGCATCAAGCAACACATGCACTTTAGCCGGTAGCCTGCTTTCTACTTATACTTTTCGCTGCATGCTGCATGCACAAAGATCTAACTTATATGTAGCTTAAATAAACAGAATAACACGCACTGATTCAAAAAAACAATTGATTTCCGGTCATCTATTGATGAATATCTATAGATCGGACCGTGTCACGTACGCTCGCCGCGTGCCACGTGTTTTGGAGAGATGGTCTAACTAGGTCGCCCAAGTTCAAGAGATTTCGAGCGATGCATGCTCTCGGTATTTTGCGTTGGTCTCGCATGGTATTGCTGGCACAACAGAAACATTGAAGGGAACACATCCGATTCTTTTCCAAGCAAGCTTGCCCCCACCCTGGGCCGGCGGCTCCTGTTCAGCAAGTCACTCAAGACCTGAGCAGTGAGGCTTACAAAAAAAGCTTCTTGAATAAGCTGTTCCCTTCTAAGCAGTGCTACAGTTGAAGCATGCGGGAAAACAAATCTCACCCCAAAAATGACCTGCAAGTCATCCACGTACTTCGGAAATTCAGCAGGTCGAGTCCTAAAGAGCAGTCCTCTCATCTCTTTGGAAATCTGATGAACATCTTCTCCACATCCCTGATCTACACATCCCTGATCTATATCGTCAACTCCTTCAAAGAGAACCTGTAATTTTCTGAAAGTTTAGATATGTTTAGGTCAACTGTGCCAGCAAATAGTACTTCCAGTGTCCAACCAGCGACCCAAGGACAATATGAACAAAAAACAACCATCACAAAACATGAAACACCCACCCCCACCCTCGTCCAACCGTCACATACCACCGAAAGCGCCCCATGCCAAGGCATACCGAGGCGCTTTGACCCACTCCTCCAGCGACAGCGTGGCGTCCACGTCGGGTCCTAGCCTCTGCTTCCTCTGGAGCTCCGTGCTGCGGAAAATGGCACGGGGGCGGCTCTCCTGGGTCCAAGAGGAACAGAACAGGGAGTTGAGTTGTATATATAGTTGTATTGGGTTGGGTGGGAAGTTAACTTGCGATTTTGTGATGGGACTAAGCATAAAAATGGGACTTAGCATGGGAACTGGCAATTGCGTGTGCTCAGCGTAACAGGACGTTGTGTTGGACAGTTTCATGAACCTGATCGCTTGTAGAGGAAGGAGAAGTCGTAACAGGGTGTCCATGTGAACCTTAACTTAACCCTTTTATATAGACAGCAATCAGAGGATTTCTTGGGCATATCAAGGCACAGCGAGCGAATGGGATACTGCTTGGTCTGGGTGAAAACTAGACTGCCCTTTTATCCGGAGGCCACAACAATTGGACCAAAAGGCTTACAAGAAATATCACAAAACCTTCAGGCCATCACAGGACCTGTTATCTCCTGTTACAGCCACCAACTTGCCGAAGATTAGAACAACCGAACAGCACTTCACTGAAAGCATGGGACCCTTCCACTTGACCGACTGCTTGGCAACTCCAGATGGCACGCCAACCACCTCCTCTCTACCCAAGCCAGCACCTGTTAGCAGGCTATTTTTTACCTTTGAGACGCCCATCCTTCCCCCACCCCTTTAGACAAGGCTCGCCGGATAAGCCCACCTTGGTCCAGGCTTCTCCGAAACACAGCACCAGTGCTTGCCTTATAGACGCAGGACGCGGAGTTGGCAGGGACGACAAAAGAGAAGTGAACCCCTCGGACCCTTGGAGACGGCTAGAGACGCCGGCCGAGATTTGGTGACGAAAGAAACTCCATTTGGTGTCTTATTACATCTTCCACATTTGGAAGTTCTCTTTGGGCTACTCAAACATACCTCTTGAATGAGTGAACACACATCTTACACCACCCTCCACCCTCCACCTCTACTTAGCATGCACCGCTCATCTCTCACCCCAGTCCTGCATCTTGCTAGATACTACTTCTGCCTTCCACCTCCCCCGGTCCCCCCAACTTTCTCCGGCGCCAACCCTTCTGCTTCCTCCATGGTGCTTCTCGGCAAAAAAGCTCGTCCGTCCAAAGCCCGCTGGCAGAGTGCGAGGAAGTGAGGAGTGGAGTTCAGAAGGGAATTGGGAGTCAATGTGACACAAGGAAGAAAACCATGGGGAAAAACGCACATGACGTTCCAAAAGCAACTGGTGCTTTACTTAGCATCTGGGCCATTTGATTCGATTTGATTTGTGTCCGCCAAAAGCCTGCCATACCGATGGCTCGGCCCTGTCGCCTGTCAAACAGGTTTTTGAAACTAAAAACATCGAACATGATCGGCCAATTCACCTGATACATCCTGATACTATATAGAACATGATAGAAACCCTTATCCTGGGTGGATATGGGCGTTCGATCTCGGCGATGTTGAAGGCGTTTCGGTTTTCCTCTGGGCCGGGCCGCTCGTTGTCCTGGCTGCCTGGCATAGGATCCGTTGGTCCGTGCCCACGAGAACAAGGTACAACATACGAAATCAGCAGAGTCTGCGACCGTGTGCACCTGAAACGAACCAGAGACAGAAGGTCTCGGTCTCTGGAGCTCGAGCTGGAGCTCGAGCTAGCTCGATCATTTTGGCGGTTTTGATCTCGGGCTTTTCTCATCCAAAACCCAGTTGAACTGCACGCCCCAAATAGCACGAACATCCATTGGAACCGTCCATCTACTGCCAGGGCGGACCGAGTCACCCCTGGGTGGACCGTCTATTTTGGGTGACCATTTCTCGGGTCATCAGTGATCCACAGAACGACATCAAAGCCCTGAGTTGGGTTTGACGTTGACCATGCTTCTTCAGTCCATTTTCGACCCTCAAACCAATGCGTCCGCTCCCGTCCTCCCAAGAGGACAGAGCCACGAAGCCCTGCGCGGAGGAAGGTGTTGGGGTTCGGGGGGGGTTCGTTGCGGCCGGATGGGTGGATGGCCGACAGACGAAACCGTTGTGATTTGACACCAAATGGAATTATAAAGATGTTACCTTTGATTCGGGGCGCCAAAATGAACTGGGGCGCTGTTGAAAAGCATCACTGTTGAATCGAGCAAACCTTGAATAAGTATCAATCAATCATTGAAGAAACCACACCATCGGGATTGGGTGTTATCATGTGTTATCCACCCACTTGGTGTTGGTTTGATACTATTATGATTTCATATCGATACTATCATAATCTATCATACATACGTTGTTTGATCCATCTCAGATTCTCACATGTTAGCCCTGGTGGATTTCATTGGCCGTTCTGCCGGATTGGTTGTGCTAGCCCCCGCCTTCACTTCATCTTCGTGCCCACAAAACCTGACGAATCATCAGTTAGAGATCTTGTACCATCTTGTACCCACCCTCCAGCACAAGAGAACCTTCCAACAAACACCTGCACTCATACCTGCCACACCACCTCCCCAGCTACCTGCCACGCCCCTCCCATGCTCCACCCCTGCGTTCTCCGCCTTTCCAGGAGCTCGTGGACACACGGGATGGCGAAGGCGAGGCACCGGGACTGGAGCCAGGGAGCTGCAGCTTGCTGGGACCTCGAGGTACATCGATCGCGGCCGCGGCCGCGGCCGCGTGCGCCGCGTGCGCCACCAGGCGCGTGAGTACGGTGGGTGAAGGTTGGTGGCCAGGTCGAAGCGGTTCCGATGGAGTTCATGCGGGGCTGTTGCGGTTCCAGTACGAGTCGGATCCGTACTTGTGACACGCGGAAGTCGGAAGGTTAACATCAACTTGTTGGTAGTAGAAAGGTCATGTCGCGTCGGTTTTGATGACTGCTTTCCCAGCCGTTCCCTGGATCTTAAGGTACAAGGATAAGGGACTCTTATTGGTCTGAATCTTAGAGACAGCACACCAGGCGGTGTGGCTATTTCGTTTCAAACCATTCCCTGCTGGAAAAGGCTTACTCAACACACCCTTGCAAACTCTTGTCTCTTTGGCTTAGGACACCTGCACCTGGACCCCTCAGCATCCCCTCACCTTGCTCGCATGAGTCACATGTTGCTAGGCTTCCGTGCTGCCCGGCGCCTTGGGCAAGCTCAAGCCGGAACTCGCCAACCTGGGCACCAGTGCGACTGAAGAAAAGCATCAAGGATCACTTTGACACTGCCTTGATCCTTCTTTTCTTGGACAAGGCAGTGTCAAAGTCAACACTGAACAATAGTGATGTGACAATCACTGGACAACTGGACTCCTGAGGTGACTCTGATTCATGCTTGATTTCTGCCAACCCCTCTCTCGTTCAAGGGCAATGAGCAGCAGGGTGTCCATACTGTGAAAGACTCTGCCAAATACAGCACAGCTTAAAGGTCCAAGCAAAAGTCCAACAGAGTCTCCAAGAACCTCCAATTCTACCTCAAGCACTGAAGTCTAAAAGCTCAAGAACTGGGCAACAACAAACCCATTCGACGGCACAAAGCCTGCGCGAAGCCTTCGCTGGCCCGACCTGCCTGGAAGCCAGTGCTGGTGCAGTCACCTTGGGCACTGCTGGCGCTGCTTGCGCTGCCTCTTCTGCCATGCGACTACCAACTGTGCAGGTCTGATGCACCAAGAAGACACGTCTGAAGAGCACGGACGCAAGAAGTGTCACGGCATGTCACGGTCTATTCAATATTCTGATTGCAGACTGCGTGGTCTGTTGTGTTGAAGACTTGCAGCAATGGAGTTGTGATTTTCTTTTTTCAGCATGATCTCTACAATGGCCTTGCAGGCCTTATGGTGCTTTTCAGTTGCTATTTCTAAGGGGCATCATGTGAGAGGATCTATTGCGATTCCCTTCCTATGCCGTGCTTTCCTGATTTTCCTGGCTCGGAAACATCTGTGTCTTTCCTCGTCACATCTCGAAACCTCTCCCCGCAAAGGAAAACGGGAGTCTTCTCGGAATGACCATGAATCTTTTCAGACGAAACAGGTGGATTTCACGTGATTTCATGACCAACAGGAGTGTAGGGTTTGACTCTTGTCTTCCAACGATCACATGTCATCCAGTAAGTTGACTCGACTGCCTGGAGCGACAGCTATAGCCAAGACATCAAATGACACCGATCATGCCAGTTTCAGCCTCTGAAAGTTCAGCATATGTGAGAGACATAAAGGTAAAATCCTGGGTACAGGGGCGGCTGATGAATCAAACCCCCTCCCTTTGGATTGAAAAATCGGAAGGTTCGGATGGTTTTATGATTGTGTTTCATTGTGTGTCCGTGTTTCATTTCTTTTCAAATCACTCATCTACATTGGAATGCCTGGGGAGTTGCATCATACCCAGACATCTCCACTGTCTCATGGACCGGTAACGGAACGTGCCGCCCCAGCCAGGTCGTGCTGTCTGGCACCACCCCTGGGGCGGCAGTCCGGCAGTCCAGGACAGGTCGTGTCTGGGTATGACTCAACATGTACAGGCATATGATGGCGGTCACGGGTTCCCCGGATGTGAATAGCAAATCTGTGGTCGGTTGACCTACAAAGGGTCATCTAATTCTGTTCATCCACTCGGTGGAAAAAACCGGCCACGGCGCCATGACACCCACTGCATTATGGGTGTGCAATATAGGGAGACCTCCCAGGTTCATTGTGCCCCCTTGCAAAAAGAACGGAACCAATTTGACCCGTCTATCCAGGGGCGAGAAAGGGTGAGACCTATGACAAGACACCTCTATCGAACTAAGTCAGTTGATCCCTCCACGTCGATGCAACTTGGAGCTACCTAGCCTCCTTAAGGGCCGATTTCATAAGGAGGCCGTAGTCGAATGAGGCCAGGAGGTGTCCACTTGTCATGGGGCTTTAGGCTTAGAGCAGAGAGGGCCTAGGGTATTTCATCATTGGTCTTTATAGTATTCTTAATGATGTGTTTGACGTCATAGATTGGACGATCCGGGAGAACAACTACATCCAACCAATACCTCCACCCATTGCAAACACCGGTGGAATCGGGACATGGACCGAACCCATCCGAACACAGCAACTCTTAGTCTCACGCCCGATTTGCGCTTCGGATCTACTAGTATATATATATGTGGCAGGGACCTTTTGGTAACATTTCGTTGCGGATGAAAAGCACCGGCACATTTCTCACTAGCGCGCACAGGTCTCATTTGCCCATGCCACCACGCACAGGGGAAGGAGAAACCGGACGTCGCGGGTCCTTAGATCGGTTTCTCATTGTTTTTCATTGTTCAATTATTGCACATGTATATTGGGAAGCATGCGTTGCAACTAATGAATCAGCCAAAGCGTCGTCCACTGATCTCTGGCCTGTGTGAAAATTCTCCCAGTAGAACACTCCTGGCTTTGTGCCTTGGATACAAGCGCTGATGGCTGATGGTTCCCGAAGCCTAGAACGGTTGGCATGACGTTCAAAAGCTTGTTACGCTTTTCAAAAGAGTACGGCCGCTTTTGCGTTCAAGCCAGGCTGCGGCTTTCGATCTTGCGCCAGCTCAAGTTGTACGCCTTTTCCTCACAAAGGTACCGATTGAAAAATCTTTTCGATAACCATCAACCGGATTGATTCCCGCGCAGATATGAACATAGTGTTTGGTGAATTCAATTCATGAGTGGCTTCGTGCCAAAACAAATGAGGCTCCCAAAAGCCACGTAATCATACGGTTGAAAGAGTTAAAAGAATGTCTCCGTCATTTTCGCATGCCAATCATCCTTGCGTCTTTGCAACGCGTCGAACCATCCTTTGGAAGGGACAGAGGCCTCCACCATTTCCTCAGCGTGCAACTCTGAAACGCCCAGGGCGCATTGATTGAATTGTTTGTCCATGTCGGGCCGCCAGAAATATGTTGATTTGAGCGTTAAACAAAAGTTCCTGCAACTCCGTAACTTGCCCGCAATTCTGCCAAATCTGAGACCCTGGCGTGCCATCTGGGCTTGAAGCCCCTGCCAGGTGGTGCGGATGTAAATGGTCTACGCAGGTAAACTGTAAAGAAAGAGCCACTCTTGCAAAGCAATACATGTTCTTTTTGGTGGCTAGAATCAGACTCTGCTCCACATGGATTGTGAAACTAACAAGCGCAAAACACAAGCCAGAGCACAAACCTATGTACGTTTTTGTTGAAGCATCAGCTTTCGTAAGCTCAACAAATCATATGTTTCTATGTTCGCTCGGCACCATAGTTCTAGTTTCTCTTTGGAGCGGCGTCCTACACCACCGGAGTATGGATTTCGTCGCCCGACTCACCTTTCTGCACCCGGAATACAATCCGACGGGTCACGAAAGCATTGTCTCCCCAACGACGCACTGGCCTTGCCACCGTGGACACCATATACATCGACGGGTCCCGTAGCTCCTGGATGGGGCAACCACATACCATGACTTACAAAAAAGAATAAGCATGAATAGCACGTATATTGTTGATGCTTTGACAGTTTGCATGGCTTTTGAAGAGTTTGTTTGCTTTTGTTGTGTTTACTCTTCTTCACACTCCGCAGACCTTCGCAGGACAATGATACTTGGCTAAGATCCTTTATCTAAGCTTACTGTTCTGCTTCGACTCTTCACCTCCACCTCGCCAGATCCCCGATTCGACGAAGCGGGTGTCCTTGGACTTCTCAAGGGCAAACTCCAAGAGCTTTGCCGCATGCTGTGGCGGAAGGCCTGGGACATCGCAAACATCCGATGGTTAAAAACACAAAACAAACAATGCACTTCCAAGTCTGTCAAAAGAAGTCCTTCATCAAAAGGATTCTGATCAAAACCTTTCAACCAGCTCTCTGGAGAACATGTGAAAAAAGAAAAGTCTGATACCTTCTATACATCTCAAATATCATTACATCTGTGTCTTCATAACTCTACGCCGTTCCAGTGGCCTGTCACTGCGACGAGCGCTTCGTTTTGTACCGAAGGACCACCTTTTTGCACCTGGCTCCTCAGTGACGACCACATATCCATCCGACCGGGAAGATCGAAAGCGGACGTTCACAATCCACCGAAACATTGCTTTTGGTTCAAGGGGCGACCATCTGCATGGAAGTCTATCATAGAAATTAAGGGGGGACCATCTGGATGGACGCTGTATTACAACTCACCGACTGCCCTCGACCAAAATCTAATCTCTGAGAATCAAATTGGATTAAAGTTCACAGGGTATGTTTCTTGAAGTGCTTCACTGTCAGTCTCTATGTTTCACTTCAGATCCCCACAGAAGCCGCTCCATGGTTATTGGATCAATGCCTTCCGGGCCTGAGCCACGAAAAGACAGTCGATCCGAGAAACTTTCCCATTCGTTTCCAGGAGACAACTGAAGAAGCCATGCCATGGTATGTGAAAAGTAAGGAACTAAGCAGTAAATTGATTTTAGTGTTTATGTGAGGAAAACACCTCTTGATATGGGTAGTGGCCCTGTCATCGACCGTCTCCCCACTCCTCACCTGAAGGTGCTGCATTTTGCAGACCTTTCGCAGCTCCTGTGCCAAGCTTTCCGCATTCAATCGGATCAAGGAAAACCTAATGCAGCCTATAGGCAAACCGACCTGGCGATGATCTGTGATTGGTAGATCACTTGTCAATGTGTCAACTTGTCAACGGCTAATGCGTTTGTGTCACTCATTCACTAATAGCCGAAGTGTCTCGCATCACGACAATCAAACATGATTCGAAAAAAACGGCGCGGAGCGCTTCGGCGTAATCCGCCTGGAGGAAGCTTCTCAGCGACCTGCAGCCATGAAGATTTCGTAAAGTTCCCTCATGACACATGTCGTGGCGTCGTTGCTGTGCTAACTGTTCTCAGAATGTGCACTGTGTAGTTTGTTCTGTCCTATTTCAATCCGTACCCTTGCGCACAGCTGAACGCTCAGCATGAGAGCCGGGCCTCTTCGGCTCGCGCAACACACTGCTTCTTTGCCGCAGCGCCGCGCTCACCTGTCATGCCGGTGGCGCATCTTTGGGTATGAATATGCCATATAATGTTCCGCTGTACCTTCTTGTCTACAACATATGATGTTTGATCAATATTCTTTCATCCTGGAATGGCCATTCATCGCGAAAAAGCAGATATCTTTCGCGGATCTTTCGCGACCTCATCGCGAAGCATGTTCCTCAAGAGAGGTTGGTTACTTAACATGTTTTGGGTGAGTCAGAGAGTCATGTATATTTATATATAGAGATACGGTGGGCGGAAGAAGAAATCCTGCACCACTTTGATACAGCCGTCATCCAAAGCTGACAGACCAGCAGCCCCACATCCCTATTCCAGGTCGTTGGGGTATGGGGGTGGGGTCAAGTTTGGTAGGCAGAACTTTATCGGCACATTCGTGAAACTTTCGCGGATCTTTCGCGAAAAATCATTAATGATTTCCCCATTGGCTCAAACTGGCTCAGCCAGGTGATTGCACTTTGGCTGTATTTGGCGCCATCTCTGTGGCTAGATTGCTTCAAGCACAAATGCCTCTGACAACTATACACATCTGTGATCTATGACACATAATACAGGAATCCCACAAACATACGCTACACTACACATTGACATCCCAAAACAAACTGAAACCAAGTAAAGTTCTACGTAGAAGCTTTTTATC